CTCCCCCCCCCCCCCCCCTCTCTCTCTCTCGCTCGCTCTCTCGCTCTCGCAGACAGCGGAAGTCAAGAGCATAAATGCGGCACAACCTCAGTTCCTGAATTTTTTAGAACAAATACAAATCACACAGCGCTGTTGGTACGCACCTGGAACCGGAGCGAATCGGAGACCAGGCGCGTGCAACTTTTCGCAACGCCTCGTTCCGAACAGCCTCGCTAGCTTGTCCTGACAGTAAGGCCTTCAGGCTGAGCCGACACGCTCGTGCCATGTCTAAAAAGGAGACGTCTAGTCGCTTCCGCGCTATAACCGACATGGGATGAAGGCTCGACAAGCGCTCCAATGCAGCGAGAAGCTGCCACAGAGGCGCCATCCAGTGGACATCCCGCCAAGAGAACCCTGCTTCGCATGTTGGTGACATGTTATCGCGCCCGTGAGCGCGTGGCGTGTCACAGAGTCGCGGTCGGTGAGCAGTTGTCAAGTAAAGGCCGCTGGCTTGGGATGTTCCGCTGTCACATTGGGGGCTCCGCCGTCGCAACATCTCTTGGCGTGGACCCCGCGTCTGTCAATCCCAGGCGATGCCGGCACGGAACAGAGAACAAGCTCTTTTGGTAGAGAGCACAGCCGACGTGTTGTTTTGGGATTCAGGGAATACACCGGTTCTAGACGCGCTGCGTTCATGAGTTCCCTGGCGCCTTCCGCAGGATAAGTCTCCCTTGGCGATTCAAGTCGCTCTTGTTGCCTGGAGTCTTTCGACAAGCAGCAACGTTCCGGGCCCCTTCCAAGGCGTGTGCGTGTGTGTCTTGGGAAAGCAACAACCGAGGGCAGCGACAGCAGTAGTGGTAGCAGCAGCAGAGGAAGCGCTCGGATGCCTTACATCGAAGTCGAGAGGTCGGACCACGAGGAGCACTGCGTCATCGCCTCATCCCACCATCTCAACGAGCGTGCAGAGGAGAGAAAAGAACAGGACTCTGAGAAGCAGCAGAAGCAGCAGCAGCAGCAGCAAGAAGGAGCCGGTTCTGCGAGTTCTCCAACATCTCCGCAGCAAGGGGCACAACCAGCAGCACCGCATGGAGTACCGAAGCAACAACACGAAGACGAAAGAGGAGGCGCCGGGGGCGAGGAGGAGGAGGAGGAGGAACCGACGGAGGTGTTGAAACAGACCAGCTTGATCGTGGCGGAGAGGACGGACAGCGAGACGTGGGACGCGAAGGAGGTGGAGGAATCCGGGTGTTGCACGCGGTGGTTCTCGCGCAGGCGGCGAAGGTGACAGCAGCAGAAGGTCTCGTGAGAAAGGAGTGAGGAGAGAGGAGGGTGTGCGGCGGTTACACTGCGAACGAACAGATGCAGTGTGCCCCCTGTGTCAACGGAGGAGCAGGCAGCAGCAGAAGCAGCAGCAGCAGCAGCAGGAGGACGGGAGTATGGTAGGCCGTCACTGACTGACTATCTGTTTTTTTTTTTTTTTCTCCCATCATTGGACTCTGTCGTCTGCCCCTCTGGCCCCTATCCTCCACTTCTACCAGCTAGACGACCCAACCGGGGTCACATAGGAGGGGGGGGTTGGACCCCCTTCTGCGGTTCCTGCGTGTGTGTGTGTTTATTATTAGCATCGACCGCGCTAACCGGCTGACCAATGAAAAGACGTCAGTCTCAGTGCGGTTGAAAACGCAAAATGCTTCTATCTGCCGTAAACTGGGACCCCGTGAGGGGGCAGTTTGTGTGTGTGTGTTTTTATTATTTGCATCGACCGCGCTAACCGGCTGACCAGTGTGTGTGTGTGTGTGTGTGTGTGTGTGTTTTCGGTCTATTACCAATCAACGAAGTATATCGCCAATAGTGGACAGCCTCGTGCATACTTATACTGCTTGTGATGTGACTCACTTGCCGGTATGTTTGTAGCCGAGTCTAGAGAGCCAGTCGCTCATATGTGGGCCTTAAGAAAGATACGCTGGTGGACCGTACAGTAGCGGTGTTGCTGCTGTGTAGTACATAGTACGGGGTATATAGGCACACCTTTTATGCCGCTTGACCCAACAATAAAGTCGTTCATTCGCAGCAGGAGGACCGCCTCGTGATCTGTAGGGGGGTCTACACACCTCCCTTGATGTAATACAATATTACGTGTATATGTTCGTGGTAGAACTGTCTGAAGTAGCCGAAATCAAAACCAATAGACGAAAGTAGTCAGCGCTGACTATTCTACTGGTTTTTATGACTTCTCGTAAGTTAGGTCGCCGGTGTGAGTATGCTCTGCTCGTACTTGGCAGGTCGGCGGTGGGTGGGGGCATGNGTCGCAAGGCGGTCGTTTGTTTTGTTTTCTTGCGGTCTGTACTCTTGTAAGTTTATGGTGCCACGCTCTTTTTAAGACGAGCACCGAAGCGTACAATCAAACGCGACTTGTGTATTTTTTTCTTATTGGCATCGACCGCGCTGAACCGGCTGACCAATGAAAAACGTGTGTGTTCGTGTGTCCACCTTTCGTCCGGAATTATCAGCAGGAGGCGGAAGCGACCGTCGGGCCGATGTAGAATGTACGGCAGAGAATTGCGTGTGTGGGCGATCTGCCGTGTAGAGCTCTCCGGCGAGCTCCGCAAGGGTAGCGTAGTCTCTGCCTTCCCGTCTGTTATATTATGTCCCAATGCGAACAGCAATACCACGCCATGGCTGGCGTTTTGTGTGCCCTTTCGTGTGGTTCATCGCGATGTATTCCCGTTCGCGTATGCTATTACAGCAGAGAGAAATGGATGACGGCAGTAGCAGTGGTGGTAGAGAACAGGAGTAGCTCATCCATGCTTAGACTTCGCCTCTTGAACGGGCGGTACGATAGGGGCATTGTTGGTTGGTTGGCCGCAATTTCACGGGTCAACCGGTTTTAAGAGGACTGGGCCCCACGGTTATATATATGGTACAGTGAGACACTGCGAGCGACAGCGGTGAATCAGTGGGTGTATGAAATAATAACTACTGTATGCGTAGCAAGGCGTCGTTGAGAAGTCCCGTCCGCCGTTCGAGACCCTGCCTACCCGATCGCTCCCCGGCGGAGGATTTTGGGGGCTACGTGAAAGGGTTGCCCTACGTGGGAGTTTCGTGGCGATCACAATCCCCTCTCGCCCCGACTCACGGCAACGGCAATCGTGTTTGTCGGGGTGTTGCCTTCGATCGATCCCCGCGTGACGGACGTTGCCAGTCACAAGGTACTCACACGTCGCATTTTGGCAACCCGCCCCCCCCCCCCGTGTTTGCCATCGGGATTGGGTTT